GCGGCTGCACCACTAACCACCGACTGTGGACCTGAATAAATTTCGTTTTAAATGAAATTTCGTTAAAATATAATATTTGCCAAGCTCCATTTGCTGGACGTCATGGGGGGCGTGGCACATGTGACATGCGTTGAAATTTTTCATTTGATCATCCTGCTGCAGCTGCAGCTGCACATGCAAATTAGAGCGTTATTATATGGCCCGGCAAGCTGGCAACTCTGAACTAAGAGGCTCTGATGAATGGGAATTGTGCGGAACGCAGAACGCAGAAGGCAACCCTCGAGCGAGCTTTTGACTTTTTGGCCAGCTCACTATAAAATCTCTGGGGACGTTGTTTCAACACACAACTATTTCCCAGGGAAAACTGGCTCTGATTTATGCATGTTCTGCTGCCACATGAGTCCTTAGCTGCTCCTCCGCCCATCCATCCGTTTGCATTGTTTGATTAATTTCATAAGCTTTTGCCCTGGGTCGCAAAAAAGGACAACATGTGAGGAGGACCACATGTCGCCTGTGTGATATGTTTTATTTTTGCAATTGCTGCAGCACTTCACAAGCTTAAATAGCTTGAGGGACTTTGAGCGTCGTGGATTTAACTTTGGCCATAAGTCTGCTTAGAAATTAAATATTCTATTTATAGTCTACAAATATTTATTAGTAGTTTAATAAAAGATGTGGAAATGAGCAGAAGAAAACTAATTTAAATTAAATTATGCTTCTCCATTGTTAGGCGGGACTTACGCAGATTTGTCATTGTGTTTTGCTAAAGCCAGCTGAACGAAAAACCAATCTGTAAACGTTGACAGCTCCGCTTAAGAATTTCCCATCACTTAATCCCGTGCAACAATACCAGTCTATATCCTGGCTGATGGATATGCAACAGTTTATACACAATTTATAACCCCCCTGTAGACTTTGTGCAATTTCTTGTAAATTTAATTTCCTGCCTTACATTCCTACTCATTTGGCTAGCAATCTGTGAGCACTGACATTGACTCTCGTTGGATCTGCATTTGGCAGATTATCAACTATGCAGAATTCATTTCCTCATTCGTTCAATTACACAGTCATCGTTGGGCGAGGCAGCTCACCAGATGGCAATAATTCTCGAATCAAATATTTGTCAGGTGTCACAGCATATTCAATGCATTTCAAAAGTTAATTAGTTTTGCATGGGTCTGAAGTTTCCATAACTTTACCAATTCAAAATTTCAAGCATGCCGATTGTGGTTTTCTGCGGGCAAACTAATTGCCAATTAGTGCTCGAGATATGTAAGGAATATTTTCTGAAGTTTATTGTTATTGCCTATGAATAAATAAAAAAAAAAAGCAAAAAAAAAAAAACGGGATTTCAAATGGTTGAGAAATCAATTTTGGGTAAAATTGCTAAATTTGCCAACCAATCGAACAAAAACAAATGTCAAATATTTGCCAAATTACTCAGCACAAAAACCCGAAAACCAAAAGTTATGTGCAAAAATGTTTTTGCCTGCCAATGAGACGTGAACTTTTATGGCTCCTCCCATCCACCCACCAGCCCCTGACCCATTATTTCCAACCTGCACTCTCACGTCAAGGCAACCTAATTGATTTTAAAATAAATAATGACTAATCACCACCTGCAAGAGGGAGAGCGAAAGGTGAAGGGAAATGTGTGCTTTCCTCTCCCTCTATTTTCTAGGTGGAAATTTCGTGGAATCCACCGCCTCCTCATCTACATTGCTTTCTGGGTCGATTCCGGTTGCTGTGTAGACACGGGTTAACCCGTCCAGAGGGATCCTTTCCGCCGCTTGATTAATTGAAATTTCACTCACTGTCAAGGTGTATAGTTTTGGGTTTGTGTGTGTGTTTGAGCACGGGCACGTCTGTGGGCGGCAAAAGGTGTAGTGGGGGCGTGGCAGCAGCAACTTGTCTCCACTAGGATATTTGCCCTTGGTGGAGGGAAAAGCGTTTCCAAATTAATTGAGTGCGCTAATTTTGGCAAAAAGGTTTTTTAATTGATGGCCCGAGTTTCGGAATTGTTGAAAATCTTATTTTCTTCGAAACTAGTTTGGTTAGAGGGAAATTTCCAGTAAATTTGCTTGCCTAACAACTAAATAAAGTTCAAATTTTAATTTAACCCTTTTATAATAAATTTACTTAATTCAATTAAGCTAATGATTAGGTTACTACTTGACTGTCAAGTTAAATGTAAACATAATTAGAGATTGTGAGGTAGTAATTTAATCGTTTCGACAGGCCTGGAAATAATCTTCTAAAAGTACTTCAGTTTGGTATTTAATCCGATTTTAATAGTTCCATTGATAAGGAAAGTTCGATCATAAATTTCTAGTGGCAATCAGGGATTGCCAAGGGAAACGAAAATGTACTGCGATTGATGAAGTGAACATTTAGTCTGATGAATGAACAAAAATTTGGTTCAACTGCAGGGGTTCCCTTTACATTTCTTTCTTTTCCAATTTTTCGCGCAACTCGTTAGGTATTTTCGCGTTTGTTCATTACAATTTGGCCACGCGCAATTTGCATTGGCAAACGTACATGTGTGTGCTTTTAGCCTATTCTTCTGCATTATAGCCTTTCAGCATTTGGGCTGTGAACTAACATGATTTTGAAAATGCATTTCGCCGCGTTGCGTGGGCATTATGCGGCTTTCTGTGGTGTTGATGCGATAATTGTGTTCCGAGAGCATTTGATCCAATGAACGGTTCAACAGCATCAGCATAAATGCAGTGCGGTATTAGCAAACATTTAACAAGCGAATGAGGTCTGACTTTTCAATCGATAGCTAAGAAATGTGTACAGCCATAACCTGCTGAATGGAGGGGCATTACACGGCTCTGCCTCCGAATTTTCTTTTGCAAAGTAATGACCCAAAAATCTAAATTTCTCGTACTACATTTGCCGCTGGCTGCATGCAGGCTTACAGAGATATGCGAACCTCCTACTACCTCCTACATACTTCTGCATACATTTACCCTAATGCTATGCTTGAGGGGGAGGTATTCCACCCACCTTTCTCCAATCTACGCCCCTTCCGTTTGGCTGTGTGCCAGGACAAAGTGCTGTTCCAGCAGGAGTGGGAGCGAAGGATACGTATACGCACGGGCAGCAACAGTCTGCCTGTTTGCTCTTCGCCAATATTCAAAAACTGATTTTCATATGTCTTTTAAGTTTATTTGCGAGCGGGCAGATTGTGTGGGCACACACACACACATCCCACCATCACTTCGTTTCTGTATCTGTATCTGTTTTGGCATCGCCTTGTGGCTCTTATCGTATCCGGCACACGCATAAAAGTTGGCCGAGTGTTTGCAAATTTTTTCCTCCTCGCTCTCTTTTAACTTTTTTTATTGGGCCCGAATTTAATTCACAGAGGAAACAGACACACACATACCATACACACACCATATACACACGACTCCTGTGTAAGTTTTTTGAAAAGCGATTTTAAATGCAAATTTTATTGGAACAAGGGAATCGTCCTGTGTGTATAAAGATGGAGATTAAAATCAATTCAATTTGCTGCAAGCCCAGCAAAAGTGGTAATAATTTTCCTTCTTTGTTTTCTCGAAACACACAAGCTTTCTTTTACTTAACATAATGAGATTTTGAGCGAGTGCGTTTATTGTTTGGTGAATTTACAATGGCTTAGGCTAGGGGAGTTTTTGTTTAGTCAGCTAAATAAAATTGAGCAGGGATGTTAGGCCCAGTCAGTTGGCTATTAATTGACCCATTTCTTAGCCAGCTTCGGTTACATGCCAGGCACACTGCTGGCTGTCAATATATCACACGTTATGCACCATTAAGTGCTCGCTTAATAGGCTGCCATTTATCAAACGCTCCCCCGATGTGCTGCCAAATGTTAAGGAATCGAGCCAGGATGAGCTTCGTTGGTGGGGAAAAATCAGGAATGAAGCAAGGCGTCAGATGCCATCGTGTTTGTCATAATAAAAGTTACTTAAAAATTGTGCGAAAATATCTGGGCGAGCATAAATCAATGCCTTGGCAGGTACAGCATGGCGTATGCTTGATTTATGTGATGCCACAGGGCCGCTTTTTTTGAATATATTCCCAAAAATTCACAGCATGGGCTCTCGGTCATAATTAGCCAGGCCACGCGGCGTATGTGCAATTAAAGTTTTGCAGTGGTGATCGCTCCAACAACATTTGGTCCTTAAAGTTAGCCTGATGGAAATAAGGAAAGAGGCCTTCTGTCGAAATTAACCAAGTTACCTTATGCTTGTAAATTAACAAAGTTAAGCAAAGTTCTGCTTGCATGCTAACAAACACAACTCGTCTGTGTATCTTTTACTGCGTATTTTATATACCTCTCGCACACATTTGTTTCAACTAAATTCAACGGTAGCAGGTGATGCAGTTGCACTTGCAACTCCCAACAGGCAGTTGGAATTTATTGCTTTTGCTTCGACTGCCTCTGGGCAATCAAATAACAAAATGGCAGCGTAGCGCTTTGACATTTAATTGCGTCGTTGGCGGCGGCAAACTTATGAAATATGTTTGTGACAAGGCTCCAGTGCAACTAGTTCCCCTTTCACCCTCCTTCTCCCACAATTTCACCATCTCTCATGTGCTGCCGATTTTAATAAACGACAGAGCTTGTCGATCCAACGCTTGTGGTTCCCATTTGGTTATAAAGAATACAATCCTGCCAGCACATTGCACTTTTTAATTTGCTGAGTGTGCATGGCAAGAACCAATCGAGTAGGATTATTTTTATAGAATGCAGCAAAGAATAATTAAATTAAAATATTGAATTTTGTTCGGTAAGAAGGTTGCTTTTAAGTAGAAGTCGGAGTTCCTGAAACAAAGATCTCAAACAGCTTCTGATTTTTAATTAACTCTGAGCGTTTTCTTTTTAAATTGTATTAAATTTTTTAATACCAACAATTATTGGCTTCAAGTATTAAGAATGATTGATTCTTTAATTAATTTTGCAAAAATTGGCAAATGGAAATCAAACTTTGTTTAAAAATTTTAAATTGATTGAATAAAAGTTTTATTCTTTTTTTTGTATTTATAATGGACAAATCGGTAATCAAATTGTGGTGAAGCATCGTGTATCGAAAACTCAAAATCCGTCCTTCATGGAATCTCTATAGAAAAGTCACCTTCTTCCTTGCCTTTATATGAATAGCACTTTTCGACTCCCATCTCCCACAGGCATAAGAAGGCCGTTTCGACTGCTGTTCGTGACTTTTTTTCATGTTTAGACGGTTTGTTCAACCTGCATGCCACATATAGAATCCTGAGAATGAACCTAATGCTCTTTCCGGACAGGATATACTTGGAGGCCATGGTGGTGATATGAACCAATAGACTCGAAGAGATCGGCACATCGCCATTGAACCCCTCAATCTGCCTGATCAACACCTTGATTCCGGAAGTTATGGCTATATCGAATAGATCTTGTCTGGTCAATTGCGGTTGACACATTTCAGATCTGTGACCCTTTGACACTTTGTGACCCATAGCAATGCCAAAAAGCAAAATGAGTGACAACAGATAAAAGAGGTTCTGAAAAAGGGAACATGTTAAAGTGCAATTGTAGTTTCTAAAGTACTTACCATTTTATCTAAGCTAATTGTTCTCTCCTAAATGATCGGTATACAAATGAATAATTCGAAACGTTAACAACATAATTTGCTGCTAATCAGCCGGAAAATCGGATTTTAAATGCTGCTAATGAAGCGTATTTGCTGTTCTTCATGTTACATAAGACCAGTGAATTTCCCACCTCGCTCCAGCGAAATATTCCGAATTTAAATATCTCATATTCGCACATTTTCGATCTGCTGGCATTGACCTTGCATCGCACTTGGAAAGTTGGCCGAAATGGTTATTCATTAACAACACCAAAGGCAAACAAATAGAGCAGAGGCACGCGAGAAATTCAATGTGAAATAAAAGCGATTAATAGAAACAGATTGTGTGTGCCTGCACTGTGTTGAATTTTGTTTCGAATCTACCTCATAAATGAGACGCCAAAATCAAATTTCCACTCAGCCCCATGGAGTGCGATGCTTTTTTTTTCGCTTAGCCGCTTTGCAGTGTTTACAATTTCCCTGTGCTTTATATATGACGCTTAATTGTTGATAGTTTCTACGTGTGCCTGTTTTCAATGAAATCGTTCAATATGGATGCTGTGTGGGAAAATAAAATTTGCAAATTATGCAACAGTCAGAGGAGCAGTGGGGGGTCTCTTCATCGGAATGTCCGCCGTTTGTCCCGCTGGACGCTTGTTTATTTGCGTATTTGTTTACTTCAGGCGCCTGGAAAATATTCAGACACTTAAATCGCTGTGATCTATGCTTTGGTTGCTGTGCACAGTGAAAAAATGGCATATAATGATAATAAATTAAATAATAAGTTGCATTTTTATCAAATTATTTATTTTTCAAATTATTGTTAGAGCTAGAATTAAAATATTTATCTTTTAAAACGAATGTTTCCAGTGTAGCGGACTTTTGCAATCCAATTAGAATTATATTTTGACTTTGTTTACGACACTTGGCGCACAGCAATGTTTTTTGTGCGATTTTATTTCGCGTTAAAATCTGTCGCGAAAATCCCACTGCATATATATTTCGGGAACATATTTCACATTTTAGCCTGTGCTCAGCAATTAATGCATTAATTTGAAGTGACAGACAAATGACCGCCGGAATATTTATGGGCGGACTTATGTTCGCGGCTTATTAGATTAAGCACGTATGTTTATTTGCAGATTTGTTCAAATCGTATATGATATTAATATGAGAAGAAATTGCAGTTATTTTGAGTGTGTATTTATGTTTTGTTTAGCAAAGAGCAGGTTCTTGTTTTGAATTTCCTGGTTTTGCCCAAGGAGTTCTCGGAAAATTCAATTTCCATCTCTTGTTGAAGCTCCACTTGTGTCCGCAATATTCCATTTCCCATTTCGCCAATTTTGTTTCAACGCATTATTTACTTCCTTTGCGCCACATCCTTCCACATCCACATCCACTTCCACTTCCATTGCCTCAATCGCTCCAGTTTTTATGGCAACAAGCGCAACGTTTATGGCCAAGAGCCATCATATACGCTCGTGGTCAGCCGATGGAGGAAAAACTTTCGCCGCAACAATGTTTCCCCCACTTACGCATATTTCTATTTGCACTGTTGGAATAGAAAACAAACAAATAAACGTCGCAGTGCATCGAATCCCTGGACGGGTTTCCCATCGTTGCTTACATAACTGCGCTATGACGATGATGGCGATGGCGATGGCCAATGGCTCTGGCCAATGGCTCCTGATGAGCTTGGTTCAATGGCTCCAAGGCAACGTACATTCCGAAAGTGATTTTGATTTCGATTTCGTTAAAATTCGTTCGATTCCGTTCGATTTGCTTGCATCAGAAGCGAACCACCAGCAAAAGATACTACAGACAACAACGGCAAACGAGTTCAATTGGTGAAAACCACTTTTGGCCGCCAGTTTGCTGCTTTATTTCCTGGCCATGGACACTCCAATCCAGCGGCGAGATGGGAAAACTTGATTTTCCAGCTGAGCTGGGGGCCAGGGCAAACGGAAAACGCATTCCCAACCGGAGCGTGAGTTTCCCAGAGCTGTCTTCGTCGTTGTCCATGTCGTCGCATGTTGCTCTAATTGCATGACAAACTCTCTGCCAACTTTCACACACTTTTAGCGTTATCTGTGGAGGTAAAACTGCAGCATTGGCTTAAAACTGCCTTGGCCATAAATGTCACACATCAAAAGGAAAAGTGAAATTTTGTTGTTCCCACTCCAGCAGCCTGCGGAAGTTGTTAAACTTTTGCGGGAGCAGTGGCGCAAAACGATTGAGTTCTACTTTTATACGCAATATCCTGGGATAACAAGTTTAATAATTTAGAGTTTAAAATTTGTCAAACAAAAGTACTTTGTCTTATTCCGTTTAATTGGCAAACCAAACAATGCGAAAACAATTAGTAATCAGTGTTTTGAATAATTCAAATTAAATTAGATCAAATTTATTTTAAAGCAAAACATGCAATGAATTTATCACAACATTTTTGTATGCACCTTTGAAGCAAATTTTGGCAACTTCCGGCATATCTCAACTGCCTTCTAGCTTGGAATTTAGTAATTACGAAATGCTTCAAAGATGCAAAGCGAATTTGAAATATAACAGAGACACAGACCGAAATTGTTCAAGACATTTTAATGTAATTAAATTTGAACGCAGCCTCTAATGATTTTGTTTGCTTTGTCTGCGTTTTGCATCCTATAAATGTGCTAAAATAACAATAGAGAATGAAAACACAAAATTCCTCAGACAGGCAAATCTAATAAGCATAATGAATGAACCCCAAAACTCGGGAACGCCAGCAGCTGAGTTGCTGTTTTCACTCAACACGTTGAACTTGTGCTGTCACCTGTGAAGGCAATGATGAACAGCCCCCCTGCCACGCCCCTGTTTATATTTCTCTTTGCTGTTTTTTTTTTTTTTTTTTCTGAGCTCCCAGTGGGGTGACCATGGCCGGTGGCATGTGGCAAATGTCTTGCAATCCACACCCGGGCCATGTAAATACGAATGCTCTGCTGTCGTTTGCGGTTTTGTTTAATTAATTTCTATATTAGATACACTTCATTAAAAATGCCTCGGTTGTGTGGTAGGGTGCCATTGTTGTGGGTTATTTTTGGCAATCGAAAGGAATTCGGTGATTGAGAGGCACAAATGTGTGGCTCGAATGAGATCTGTGCCAGAGATACGGATACATTTACAGATTTGCAGCCTAATGGTTCGTAAAAGATATATGGCCGGCCTGCATAATTCAGTAAATGTGTGTCCGGAACGGAACCCAAAACACTTCAGTCCAAGCTTTCTGCTGAACCCCCTGTCGCTGTTTTCAGGACTTCTGTTCACCTGTCCACCTCTCGGACATTCCATCCATCTGTCAGTGCCAGAGCAATTAACGCACTTTGAGCCCTGGGCCAAGAGGTGGGAATCGGGTCAAGAGGGGCTAAGCAAAGTGCCGCTCTGGAATTCGGAGCCATGCACTTGTCGTCCCCGGCATAATGAAATGCATTTCAGTCCTCATTAGGCATGCCATTTTGTGATTTTGATTCTGCCTGAAGGGATCTCAACTCCTCGAGCGTGATGGAGTAAGTCCAATTGAAGTGCACCCGAAGCGACTTTAATTGGCCAAACAGTGGCCTTAATTGATTCAATCGGAACCAGCCCCGAATGCAGAGTCCAATCACAAAAGCATTCTTAAAATGCATAAAAGGGTATTAATTGTTCAAGGGGCCGTATTATTTATTCCTGGGCAATCAAAATCAGAAGACAGTGGAAATCGGTTTGCCTCAATTAAATAAATAGTTCAAAGGCCGTACATAACTAGATTTATTGGCAATAGAGATAATCGTCAAATGAATTCTATACCTCAAAGAATCCTTAACTCTATTTTATGGCGTCAAATGTTGGCTCGACTAATGGAACTGTAATTAATAAGTACCTAATAACCATTAAAACTTAACTGTCTGTAACGTAAGTTCTACAGTCCCTTCTGTAATATTATAAAATTATTTCCTTAAGAGCCAGCCATTCTTATTCCATTTTCCATTGTTCCGAGTTTATTTTGGCATACAATTAAAGGGTTTTTGCGCTAGAAGCGTTCCTGCCACTTAATGTAACTTTGATGTTTTTCTGGCCACGCACTAAAGAAGAAGTTGTACCTGCTGTGGATTTTCAGGCAGCAACGAGTAAATAAAAACTTTTGCGGTTAAAGTTTTTCCGCCTTTGTTTTGGCTGTGCAAATGCTTGCAGCAAATGTTACACCCCTCCCTTCATTTTTTACTCCCCCTCTCCTCCTGTCCCGAAAATTGACTTCTCATCCGTGTGGCATTTTTTGGCACTTGCCACAATGGCCACGTTCCGCTCTCACACTCACGCAGGCACTGGCGCATTCCGTGGCTCGTGGCACGGCGTTCTGGGAGCCCACTCCTCCGTAACACGGACGGAAGGGCGGCGGAGCAGAGAGGGCGTGGCTGCCACGGCTTTTTGGCAGCGGCAACTTTGCTTTGTCATGTGCCATATTTCTTTCTCGCCCGGCAACTGTGCTGCGGTAACAAAGTGTCTTTTGTTCAAAAACTGCAAATGTGGCTGGTTTCTAGGAAACTTGATTTAATTCCACCAACGACTGCTCACATTAGCTCCTGCTGTCTATCTGTATGACGCCCTTGCTCTTTTTATAACCTTAATTTATTATCCTTTACCTTTAGATAAAAAGTATTTTTTCCCTTACAAATTATTTTATAGGAAAAATTGATTCAATAATCTTAAAATGGGTATTATGATAGGAATCTTAACTTTTTATTCCATTTATAAACATAATAGGGTTTTTAACTAGATAGGATTTAAAAAACAGTTAGTGGATCAAGATGCGGTTTAAGGATTTGGTTCCAAACCAATTTTTATTGTAGCATACTTTTTTAGAACAAAAGTGTTCAAAATACTAGGGTTTAACACCAGTATCGTTAGAACCCTAAAAACTATTGAAGTTGCCACTAGGTTTTTTTAGTCACTCAGAAAAGGTGTTGTGAAAGTGCGATACTTGATGCGGTAACTCCCATCCGTAAGGGTTGTCATCCCGAGCTGTCAAGCTCGGGCAACCCTATCTCAATTTTTCACACAGCAGGCTTTTGACAAGACAAAATCCTGACAAAATCAAGAAGTAGGCTTTTGCAATAAGGACTGTCAAAATTCGGGCCATGCAAGTCATTCGTCTGTGAGACGTCTTACCGTAAAGTACACCTAGGCATACAAAAACTACAAATATATATAAAAAATAAAAATCAAAAAAAAGATTATATAAACTCAGACAATAAAATTTGTGTTGTGTTACCTAATACAGTGTTAACTTATACCGTGTTCGCTTCTACCGCGTTACATTCTACCGTGTTTTATCAACAAAAAGACACTTTCTGTTGCTGCGTTACCACATTTGCCGGCGTTCGCTCGTCTTCCATAGTTGTGATCCATCGAATTTTCTGGTTAAAAATCCAATCAATACCCCAAGAAGCCGCCGCAGCATGAACAACCTGAACGCCAATGCCAGTGCCTTCCTGTGGCAGGCTCAGCCGCAGCAGCTGCCGCCGCAGGCGGTGCAACAGCAGGCGGTGCAGCAGGTGCCGCCCGGTCAGCTCATCCATACCGCCGTCGTTTCGCAGCCGCGCAAGTTTGGTGGCAACAAGAGCAACTACAACTACTTGCAGGGCCAGGCTGGGGCCATTTTGGGCGGCGGAAATCCGGGGGGCAATCCGATGGGCGGCCTCGGCGGCAATCCCAATGTCTACCGCAAACGCCAGCCGATCAACGCCTACAGCACCGGCTGTTATCAAACGAACGGTAAGCCATGGGGTCTCCGCAGTGGATCGTCCACAAAACCTAATGGTCTAACTTTTTCATTACAATTCGAATGGAAAAAAAAGGAAGCCATTTTGTTCTGGGGTAACACGGCTAAAAGTTTCTTATTACTAGGTTTTCGGGGGAAAAAAATCTCCCATTTTAAAGTTAATGCTTGTAAATGTGTTAGCTGCAGAAAATGTTGTAAATGTCCTAGAAATATTTGCTTGTTTTGATTTTGTTGGTAATTTAGATATGGTGTAGAACATTCTAGAAATCATAGATCATTGTTGTTTTTCTCATTTCTCATTTTCCCTGTGCCTTGGTGTCATCATGAGTCGGCATAATTTATCCATCAAATTAATCAGCACTTCCAAATAGTGTTAAGAACTCCTCTGTCTCGTAAAATTTACATTTTCCAATACTGAAAGTAGTGAAAATTTTCCTTTTCTCACCTTGTGCAACATTTGTCGCTAAACGCTGAATTATTCAAATTGAATTCTTGTACTACTCACTCACTGTTTTTATTATCAAACACCATTTATATTTTTTGTGCCGCTCTTAGCTTGGGCAAATCATTAAACGCATTTCCTTTCAGGTAAGTCGCTGTTTTCTATACCCGAAAATGTTGTTATGCTTGAGAGCCGTAAGTACATTTAAAACTAGAGCACATTTCAAACACACACGCAACACACCCCACCGGCACACACCCCACCGGCACACACACACACTCGCACACAAAGAGCCCAAACAACACTACACACGTACATCAACATTTGCAGATCGAATCAATCAATCGTCCTGGGGCCAAAAGTTGAAGTGAGGGGCGGGAGTTTTTGTGATGAAATGTAAACGGCGAAATTAATTTCCAATTGAAAAGGGGTCCGGGTAAAAGTTCAATTACAAAATAAAACAATGCATCTGGGCAAAAGTATAAAGATCAAAAGATGCCAGCGCCGAATTTGCATCTCTATGCGAAATTTATTTTCTGCCATTAATCAATTTCGCTTCTGTTTCGTTCCGTTCGGATCGGTTTTTATTCCTACAGTTTCCTGGCCAGCAAAATGCAATTTACATTTTTTGTCTTGCATGAATTTTCAATTGCATTTTCCCGGTGCTTTTCTTCTGTTTATATCGGGCTCCATTAACATTTCTATAACGATGACGTTGCTGCTCGACCAACGTCGTCCAAGATTTTCACGTTTCTCCTTGGCGGTCGTTTATTTATTCTATTTTTCGCATTGTTTTCGCCATTTGCATAATTTTCAATGCACGCAATTTTCATTCAAAATGTCGAATGGAGGTAGAAGCCACAAAAGGGGCGGTGTAATGGTTTTAAGTTGCAGATTTCTGCCTTCTGTACTTAAGGATGATTTTTAAAAGGTGCAAAATATATTACCCAAAGTCAATTATTGTTATGGCTCATTTTCTTAATCGTCCCCAACCCACCAAAGCCGTCAGATGGTGTCATAAAAATATGAAATTGCCGTTTCAACAATTTTTCGGTGGACACCAAAGACCAAGAAGCTGAACAAATTTGCACCATAATTAAAATAAATGCTTTCAATGGCCAATAATTGCCAAATAAATTAATTTTAATTGCAGGCAGCCGTCGGCGGTTGCGGGTGGCAAAGCACAGGCTTCTAAAAATATATTTCAAAGTGGCTAAAATAAAATGTACGCTTTACATTCGTAAGAGTGTACACATCTCTCCGCCTTTTCGCTCTCCGCGATGTTTTTATTTTTAAATGTTCCGCTTTTGAGTCTGTCCAATACGAGCAGTGCCACGCCCACTGTTCGCACCACCACCACTAACACTTGCGGCAGATGTCGCCGAATTTTTGCAGGTGGGAAGAAGCCGAAAAACACTTAAAAATACATAAAAATACCAATGGTGGGGATGTATGTTCACAAGAGGGAGGGGATGTGTGTGTGTGTATGCCGCCTGACATGTTTATGGTGGTTGCCTTCTGAAGATTTCCCCAAGATTGTTTTCCATGGGATCAGGGGCCGAGTCACTCGAAGATTTATGTGGGCGTTCATTAAACGCACATCCGTCCCGGCTGCCAATCACTTAGTTAATATGGCAAACTCTGCCACCGAGTATTTGCATATACATTCAAAATGAGACCGGAAAAATTCGCATATTAAGGTGCTTTCCCCATAGCCAGGGTTGCCAGGGCCACCGAAGGCAAACTTGACTTGTTTGTTTATCTTTACCCTGGCCAACTTCAGCAGCTGTTGTCTCTGCCCAAAAATAATATACATCCATCCACACATCGCTTTTTTTGTGTGAGTGTGTGTGTAGTGGCTTAATTTGCTGGCATTATTGCCGTGAAGTGGGTGGCATTTTATTTGCCTTTCGGGTCTGATTGCTTACTGTGGCTTACTTTTGCTGATTGACAGCGCATTTCGTTTCGTTTTGTGTTTGGTTTCCTTTTGTTTTAGCCCAATATTTGCTCGCCTAATGCAGTTTTCCTCGAAACTTTGGCTTAGTAATTGCGTTTTGTGGGAGCTAAAATTAATTAAATTAACTTTGTTTTCACTCCCTCCTCTTCTCGCCGAGCTATTTTCCCCAAATAATTCCACGCACAAACCTTTAACTGACAGGCCGTAAATCTTGTGGTTTCAGGCCCTCGGCAAAAACAGACATCTTCCCACAATAAATTCATAGTGAAATCCAATAATTTCGTTGGTAGGCAGGAAAGATCAACAGAAAAAACAGCAGCAGCAACATGAATATGGTACAACAATAACCGACAACCGCAGCCCGCATGTCCAAAAATATAAATTGTGTCGCTCGCATTTTATGGTAATTCAATAAATTGAAAATGACAAATTGTGTCATGTTGCGGTCACTGGATTGGCAGACCATAAAGCCCCAAAAAACCGCTTGTGGCAGAAACGGTGGGGATAATTAAATCTATGTTGGGCATCAATAAAAGTTGCAAATGGATTTTTAAAGTCGCCGGCAGAGGACAAGAGCGGTCCTGCGACTCCTGCTGCATCAGGATGTGCTACGGCACATCCATCAATCAAAGACGATCAATCAAATTGATGTCAACATCGGCGCACGCAGCTAACGATGAGTTCGATGTTGCCGCTAGCTGTCGCTAGATGGCGTGTCGAACAAGGACAATGTCGCTGTCGTCGCCTGGCTGAACTTTAGTTTTGCACCATCCAATATCCTTGCCCCCACCAGCTGCCCCACTAACGAGCGCTAATGGACATCAGTCCTGCTGCTTCCGCAAGGCAACTATTGAGCCAAATTTTGTGGAAGCAGGAGCCAAAGTCGAAGCAGGAGGCGAAGGATATGGAAACTTTGCCACTCCACGCAATATTGCGTCGATTATCTTCAATCAAAAGCCAGTGATTGATGACTGCGACGACTGGCCGGACGGTGGTATATATCCGGAGGAGCTGGAAGTTTTAAATTTCCCTCAGCAGTTGGCAATTCGCCTTAATGCCGGCCATTCATCAGCGTCCTGCGGTTTTATTGAAGGCTTTATTGTTTGCCATTTTGATTACTTTTGCAATTGATTCATTTGTAGGACCGACAGGTTGGGTCCTTTTTTTATTGGTATACTTTGTATTTGCATTTAAATTATGCTACCAATTTCAAAAAGAAAAGGAATATTGCCACTTAATATGCCTAATGATTTTCTTTAATGTGGCGCCTCACAGTTTTATGAACCAAAAAGTCCACCATTTCCCTGCCTAATTTATGCAGGACGCGGCTGCTGCTGCTTTTCACTTTTTCCCTTAATAATTTGTAATTAATTTAACATCTGGCCAGCCTTGCTTGACGAAGAACTCGGGGAAAAAAGCGGTGGCAGGTTTTTGTCAGGAGCCCTCGTATACTTTTGGAGTAATTTTTTGTAAAGCAATTAATTGGACATTTTGCTAATGCGTTTGCCACTTGCAGTTTTTGCCCCCAATCCATATTCCGCTTAGCGAATCGTGCAATTTTCTAAATTACAATATCAAAATTGTCCCCCAGCTGCTGCACAGTTGCCTGACTCTCTTATTTCCTTATTGTTTGCTATATTTTTATGGAACTATCGATTTTCGCTTTGCCCCTCTGATAAGTACGTTGAGTAGAAAAACTTTATCAAAGCGCGAACTAAGTTTGGCTGCGCAATTCAAAGAGAATTTTTCTTCATGTTAAGGATAGTTGGGGGGTATATGAATATCATAAATATGCATGGTATATATTTACACACGGAGCTCCATTAACTAGAAAAACGCTTCAAAACGTTGCATGCAACGGGGGGTCGACTATCGCTTTTCCACCACCCACAAAGTCAATACATCAACCACAACAAACAACTGACTGGCGAGGGTGGCCACTAAAGTTCTAGTGCTACTCAAGCCAGCTTATATCGCTTTGAGAACCACTCAGCTCTCGAAATGTCACTGAACATTTATTTTTTCTCTTGACCAAACTGCATCGGCCCGAATAGAGAAATTTGAGGAGGGCTAAAAACATGAGAGCTTGTGGCCAAGAACTCTTCAGCCGATAAGTGGGCGGATGAGTGGGTGTGGCTATGCGGACACTGATTGCACATGTGTTTGCATGCCATTAAAGCGACAGTTGGTCCCACAGTGTTTACCAATGCGATAATTAGGCGAAGCCAAGAGAGGCCCCGTCTCACCCGCTTGTTGGCCAAAACCGAAAGCACAAAGGCCAAGTCGTGCCAATTTGCTAAGCACACACACACACACGGTGGCCTGTGTGATTATGAATTATATTATAAATCCTCATAAGCACAAGGTCCTATCGCACCAGTGGAACACAACTTAAATGCCATTTTGCGCTCCTAATTATGTTGTCCTCATCGTCCTCGCTTTTATTTGCTTGCCTTGTCTGTATTTGCCCGGCCTGAAGGAACATATACAAACAATAGTACGAGGGGAGACAACAACAACGAATGGCACTTACATGCGTTTATATTATTCAAATCCGCCGTAAATGTAATTAAGCTCATGAGAGTTAAGCACAAATTTATTTCCACGCTCCAAGGTGGTCGTAAAAAATCCGCAATCCTTTTCCCCCACTTTGGTTTTGGGGCTTGCCGCTTATCGGACTAATTTCCACGAAGGAATGGGGCTTTGCGTAACGCATATAAATTGGCTCATTGCCGTGGGTCGTTGTCTCTGCGCTCTCTGATTTCTTTTTGATAAGCACTGGCATTTCCACCGACTGTTATTCAGTTAAAGGCTTAAAGCCACACAGCCATCGAAGCGGGGTAACGAAAGTTTTTCGGAACATTAAAAACCAATCAGGCGCATTGTCACATAATCAGCTAGCTGCTCATCGGAGTTTCCCAGCTTACATGTGGCAGCGCTTTTCCGCAATCTCTTCCCTATTATGATTATTTTTTATAAGCTCCCCGATGGGGTTCATTGCCGTTGCTGCTGCTGCTGCTGCTGCTGCTGCTGCTGCTATCATCGTGTCACACACAGGGACAACTCTTTGCCAACATAATAGTTTTGCTTATGAAAACAAATTCAATTTTGAAGCTGCTTATGGAAATGTTTATGCAAGACGTGAGCGCAAACTATGCGCAGATCGGGGGCGTTGGGGGAAAATTAATGTCACATGACGGGGCGAGTGAGTGAGCGCGCACAAGTCGGAAAAATGGGGGTGGAAATTCGAGATGGGCGGTGGCAGTTGGGGCGGTCGGACTGGGCGTGGCACTGTGCATGCAGCCAGATAAACGGGACAACAGCATCATGACTCTTGGCATATTTCACAGTACAGTTTCGCAACGAGTGTGCTCTGCTCCTAAGTTGACTCTAACAAATTGAAAATCATTGAACGCTGGCGAGGGAGGGGCGAAGCTGTAGGGATGTAACTGCAGCTGAAAAATATTGTAGCATACATTTAAGCAAATTGCAATTAAGGTGAACGAGTGCGGGGCTGTGGGGAATGCATGTTGTTTCGTTTGCCAGCCATTACCCTGTTCATTGGACCGACTTTCGCCCCCCGAACCCCACTTTTTCCAGCGCCTGCTGACAAAGTGTGCCAATACGGAACACAAAGTATGCAACAATTTGCAGCATAAATACTTTGTGGACCACCACCCCGTCCACAGAACTGTGGAGGCCATATGCGTACTTTACTTTTGTACAGCCACCTGCCAACTCACCCACGTAGCGGCTTAGTTTTAATGGATTTCTGTGCAGCCCGTTTTGTGGTCTAGTTTTGGTAGAAGAAATGCGTTCTTTGTTTCGTTTTGTCATGGCAATGTTGCAATGCTAAGTTAAATTCCTGGTAGAGATACAAAAAATGTTAAAATTTTAGCCACGTCTATTCAAAAAATTTTCTGTCCACTAGCGATTCTCATACGAGCACAGCGAAACTTTCCTAATTGCAAACAAACAAGGCACTTAATCGCGACACACATGTCGTATACGTAATCCAAACAGCAGAATTTCTGTATGCGGTTGCTGCGTTGGTGGCGCACACACACACACTTACTTAACGCTCCGTTAAAACGAAACTAAACTCCAACTTCCGCCTGCCCGCCGAACACATAATCTAAAATAATTTGTGCGCGGTGAAAATTTACACCTGCTCAGTTTGCCACCGCTCCTTTTCGACGCCTTGCGTGTGAAACATTTTCCAGCAATTGCATGCAACAATTCCCCGAATGCTTAAACATTTTAGGCACGCTTCCGACGACGTCGTCGTCCAGCCAGGGGCGTGAATTTCTTTTCTTGGCCTTCTGCCCCAAAAAAAAAAAGAAGCAAAACCCTTAGCGAAAACTTGATTTTCGGGGGCAGCAACGGAAGCTGGGACTGGCAATTTCGCTTGGCTGGCGTCACGCATACGCCCCGTGTTGCAGCAAATCAGCAAAGGCGGTGAATTTCAATTAAATCCCAAGCAGCGGGCGCTCCCGCACTCAAAATGAATAACTACTATGGTTTGGCTGCCCAGTAGCTTGAGGCCTTGGTTTATTCCGAATTGTTATTGACTCTAGGCTATATTGAAGGCTTAGGTTGATACGAGGGCCAAACCCAAACATTTTCGTTACCCAAACTGCCCGAAGTTCCATTGGCGTTGGATTATTTACTTATGGCAAAGTTGGTAAATTGAAACGTGCCTATGTCAAGTTTTCCGGAGGCGGAACGCTTTAAAATTCGCACGTAAATCCAAACGGATTAAGGACTTGTGAAAAATTGCATCAATTTGTGTTGTTTGCATTCGTCTCTCTGCTTTGCAGCCGAAAAAACAGCGGACAGCTTCAAACTAACAGCCAACATAAAAATGCCAGATTTTTTTCCACACTTGTTTTCCCTTCCTCTCCTTTTCTTTTTTTTTGTACAACTTCTCACCGAGTGTTGTGTGTGGGTGTGTGTGTTTGTGTGGATTTTTATGCAAATATTTTGTCAGGTAGCCCCAAAGTCCAAAATAAACCAGCCATGACGGGGACTCCCCAATGCGAAGCCACAGTTAGCTGGGATCCCGGCTTTGCCAGGACGACGTGGTGCAACTAAATCAAATCAAAACAAAAACAGCTCCGAAATGGCAACTCGGGCAGCCATTTTGGCATAACAAGCGCCATGCAAATTGAGTTCCGCCGTGAGCGTGTGTGTGTGTCTCACTTTTTTGCCCGAACTTTGCAAGTGATTAGGTTAAAGTGTTTGGTTTAAACAAGGCCAAAAAAAGTTGCATGTGTCTGCCGACGGCTGGCGTCACTTTTTAAAGTTAATTAAATGCCTGCCAACTTGCGCGAAGTCTCAGCCATATTTAGAGCGACAGTTTTGGCAGTTTGTCGCAGTTTTGGCTTTAATTACAAGACGTTGGCAGATTTGCGAGGCTGTGGTTGTGGCCAGAGCTTTGTTATTGCCTTCGTCCAGAAGCTGGCGTTTATTGTTCGTTGTTGGAATGGGATAATACCAATACGAGAGTGGTTCCATTTTGATGCCACTCTGGTGGCTTACACACAATGCAACCGCCGTAAAGCAAAACACAAAATGGAATCCCGAAGAACAGCGTAGACCAATTTGGGCGGTATATTCTGCACATTTCTTTTTCTGTGCCTGCCAAAAATTCAATTAACTTACATGCCAAACCGCAGCCGGCATGAAAAGGGAACTATTGCCCTCTCCTCCACCGTGGAAAATCCGCCCCTGGTCTATGTAAGCCGGCTTCGTGGTTTCCCCTTTTCGGTTTAGGGTTTAGGTTTTTTGATATCTGAGGAAGTCTTCAACTTTTGGAATCTCGGGGCACCCGCTTTAATGCCTTTACTCATGCAACAACAATAATATTTGCTTACTTTAAGTTTTAGTTTTATTTTAAATTGGCACAACTAAAAATATGTTTTTCGTTTATCTTTTGTTTCGTTTCATTTTTAATTTGCTACCGCTTATTGTTGTTGCATGCATTGAATAATCAAATGTACAAAAACATGCACGAAAACATGCAGTACCGACACTGCCGACACCACAACAACAACATGTACCGACACATCACCAACTCCACCACCACCACCACCAACAACAACAACAACACCAACAACAACAACAACAACATCAACAAGCTCCACAACAACAACAACAACACCATCACCACCATCAACTAGTTGTCCCAGCTCAATCGCACAATCTTTGTCAATTTAAAGAGCCACCACTATTGGGACCCGGGGCCGCCTTCCCACCATTCGGAGCCCCAGAATATCATCCAACCACTCCCGAGAACTGGAAGGGCGCCGCCATCCATCCCACTGGCTTGATGAAGGAACCCGCCGGTGTTGTTCCCGGACGCAACGCCCAGGTGGCCTTCACTCCGCAAGGACAGGCTCAGGTGAGTATTCGGGAAGATTCCAGAGGCTGTGTACAAATATAATTGCTATTTGTCCACAATTTCTGATCAAGACTTCCCCATCCTGACCGGCAAGGCAGTATTTTAATTAACTCTTGTTGTTCTCCTTTCTTCTTCAGGGCGCCGTCATGATGGTCTACGGCCTGGACCACGACACTTCCAACACGGATAAGCTCTTCAATTTGGTTTGCCTGTACGGCAATGTGGCACGGGTAAGTTAAAACATTTAAATTACACTTAAATTGTAAGACAAAGGCTGGCCATTCTGATTTAATTGGGACGATTCGCAGACAATTAAATTTAAATTACTGGACTGTCAATTGGGAGTGACTTGGAAAAAAATTGATTAACTGAAATGGAAGTTTAAAGAAAAGGATATAAAGATTGTACCTATACCAATTTTATAAATATTGAACATAGGATAATATTAATATTACTTACTGCAATTGGATTTGTCCATTAAGATTGTGGTCGATAAATTATTCTAACCTTTTTTTTAAAGTCAAACTTAAATGTTCGTTTAACACCCCACTCGAGGGAACAAACGCCATGTCCTATCTTCTGGCCAACCCTTTGCTTATGACCTTTTGGATTGTAAAAGAAAAGTGAAGAAAGGAATATCCTCAACTTGCACTTAGCCAGAAAGCTGACAAAAAAAGGGAAATTCGCATTTCATTGCCGCTGCTTTGCTTGGTCGTCAGCACTTTGCGGTTTAATATCGGCCGAACGAAAAAGGTGTTTTTGAGTGGGAAAGCCAACCGCAAGACCACTTTGTGTCTGTGTGCCATTTGTAAATGTGCAAATAAAACGAAAGGCAATAAAAGGACGAGGCCAGGACAGTGCGAAGACCAGCAGTAGCAGTAGGCCAGCGAGCAGTTGAATCGGCAAAACACATTTAGATAAAGCGTTTTAGATTAATATCCCCGCCATATGGGTTTCTATTTATTCTATGTGTGGGTAAGGGAGTTGCCTCGGGACAGCAATCAGTGCAGCGTCATCAGCTTTATCTGTAGGGGCGTGGTGGGTGTGTCACTCCACCCGAACCTTACTTCATCCTCCTGCTCCTGCTCCACCTCCTCCAACAATGGCAAAACGATTGGCAAGTCGCTTGTAAATCAAAACACGATGACGACCAAAAAAGAATCCATTAAAAAGCTTTGGCGAATGGCAATTCGGAGTGTGCTCATTGTTAGTCGCCAGGCGAAAAGGAAAACCCGCCGGGGGAGCATTTAGTGCAGCCACAGAAAATGCCTTAGCTATCTAAACCAACCACTTGCCACCCACTCACCACCCACCGAACAATGAGTTTGTGGGTAGAGCGCTGCCAACATCAAAGTCAAATGCTAAAAACTTCTTTGGCGTGTGGCAGAGCTTTCACTTTATTGCTACTATGATTCCGCCCCCCCTATGCGAGTGTGTGTCCTTTGACAATTGCGCTCGCCAAGGACAACGCGGTGGGTTCCCTTCGCTCCCTGACATGTTTTGTTTAGTTTATGTCTGTGATAAAGCGAGTCAAGGCGACTGGAGGAGACCACACGAACCACTTTCACTGCACACTGAAGTAGCTGGGGGGCCAAAGGTTATTCAACGTTTCAAAGGAGTTATATGGTTAAGGAATTTCAGTGTGCCCTATACTCAACGTATGGAAACTCTTAAAATATCACTTACATGCGTGGACCTTTTAGCGTACGATTTTGTACTATGAATAAGAAATGTTACTTCCAAACCATGAATATATTTCCTTAATTGGCTTAACCTAAATTACAAATATTAAATCTCTTAAAAGCATTCTGTGTTACACAATTTCCTTAGGCATTCCCACACAAATGGAAATGGTTTCGCTTCACATTACTTTCAAGCTACTTTGTTTTCAGTTTTTTTTGCATTCGCCCTCCATTAGCCAATAATTTAAGTGACCTTTGCTTTACTTTATTTCAACCGATACACCCACAATTCGTGGCAGGACTCTCATTTGGCCATTACTTTAGTGGGAGGGCACGATAATTCAGGGCGCGGCCATTTAGTTCAGTTTCTTTCTCTGACACTTGCAGTCGCTGGAGGAAAGAGGAGTAGAGTGGCTGGGTCAAATTTATTGCGAACTTCCTGTCCGAGACGGAAACTACTCATTAGCCATTAAAAATGATTATGCGCAAACATTATTCACTGGGCGGCTAAGCCGCAAACATACATTTCTTCATTCTGGCCCTCTGCTTTCTGCCACCCACACGCTTTTAAGCCCAACTCTTGGTTTTTGCCCGAGTTTTCCCCCATCGCAAAGCGTTCGGTTCGCTGCGCCTGTCGCTATGCAACTGAGTTCACAAGAGTGAAAAGCCAGGGCTGTTGCCTCATTATAAAGTCGATGGGCATGTGTGTGTATTGATGTGTGTGCGTTGGGTGTGTGGGGGTGTTCTGTTTGGATGTATCTGCGAGTTTATGGGCCGACATGTTTGAATTGCGAATGAGAAATTGATGGCCACTCAATCAAAGTGCCGTTGCATGAGGTTCCTTGCCCCAGTCTGTTTTTGTGACCATCCCACACCGTGTGTTGGTGTTAATGGGATTCCCATGAGGAACCATTCGGGATCATGTCTTTCCTGAATTATATATAAACGAAGCCCGGATGCCCTTGGCCTCTCTGGATTCCAGAAACGGAAATACACAGTATTAGATTTCAATAATAAGAGTCCCTATCCTAATAGGGTTTGGCATAAACATTTTGCTGGAAGGAATTTGATTAACCTGCCGAAAAATGTATTTTCTGAAATTTCCAGCTGTCGAAGTTGACTGGGAAAGCTGTCAGATATGTCCGTGGGACCCAGGGGAATTCGCTTGAATTGTGTTTGCATTTTGCGATTTGTAATTTCCACTTTTCCACCCAAGAAAATATTGCCGAGCACAGTTTCCTTCCGCCCCAACGAAGCAATCTGGTTAATTATTTCTGGGTCCGGGCGATGAAGTCATCAACAAATTGATTTTCAGGTTAAATGGCATGACAAAAATATAGGGAGCCAGGGACTTCGACAGACTGTCAGCAGCAGGGCAAAGGTTTGGGCCAAGTCAAATGGCGAGTGTGTCTTTAAAGGCCAACAAAATACACGCACTCAATTAAATACGCATTAAAAAAACATTTGGATACAATGTGTGGGGTGGCCTGAATGGATGGATAGAAGGGAATGGAATGGGCGATGGGTGGGAGCATAGGTCAGGCAGTGCTGCTTTTAAGCTGCGCGTGAGCAATTAAATCAAATGGCAGAGCAGACACCATGCCACATTGCACAACAAAGCGTTCTCGGGCGAGAGGGTCGCATTTTAATTAACGCAGTGCCGCACTAGGGGGGTGGTTGGTTCATGGGGTGGAAAGTGGCAAGGGCGCAAAAGGGGGGGGGTGGTGAGCAGCGAGCAGCGAGCAGCACAACACAGCTCATTAGACACGCACCGAATGTTTGCCGCTGCTGTGGCTGCGGCTGTTGACCAGCACTGACCATCCAGCCATGAAGCGCTCTTTGATTTGGCCAGAGAATCCTGCTTGCGCGGTTCTATTTCCAGTTGTGTGTGTCTGTGTGTGTGTGTGTGGTATCCTTATGTTTGCATGTTTGTAATTTCATTATCCTTTTGTTTCTGGGGATTCAGGGGCTATCTGGACGCTTTCTGCTTGACTGATTTATGGTCTATATTTATTTTTATACATTGGTTTATTTTTATGATTCCGTTTCGTGTCTCGCTTTGGGTTTCGGTTTCATATTCGATAAGCCTCATTTAGTTTTTATTTACTTTTGGCCAGTCCCTACATTCGTACTCCATTCAGGCGTATTCGTTTTGATTGCGGCCCACTTTAGACACACTCCATGAGCTGCCACAAAATACCAAAACCGTGCATAGTTCCAATGCGGATGTGTCGGGGGGTTTGGTTTAATTATAAGCAAATTGTTTGTCCCATTTACACACAGACCGCCATTCCCCGTTGCCTTTGTTTACTTTGAAATGTTTGCAGTTCATTATAATATAATTGGGTATATGCGAAGGACATGGGTGATATTTAATAATTGAATAATTTATGTAATGAGCTTATAATTTGTGCAGCATGCTCGGAAAAAAAAAACGTATTGATTTTTACGGCCCGAGGAGGACTTCTTGCCTGTTTTTTGCTTGTGCAGCTAGCCTCCAGCTGGCAATTAACTTGGCCAAGTGCCTGCAGACATAATTAAATTCGGCCGACCCCAACTATAGTCGCAAACCGAGCGGAAAATATATATCAAGATAGAAAAACTAAATGCCAAGCTCGCTTTTCGCGGTGCGTGCAATGAACAGCAAAAAAAACTGACATCAATACGCCAAATTAAGGCATTTGAAAAACAAAATTGCAGCGGCCGTTGTCCAAAATTGGACAGGTGCTCGGTCCGCTTCTCTAATTCGCCGGCCAACCGAGTCAATTGCGAAAACTCGTTTCAGCTTTTGGCCAAAATGCAGCCCCCTCCGAATGCCTCCTCTCGGCCCCAATGAGTTCAATGCCTGGCAGCGGCCAGCAAATTGATTTGCCAATGCAACCAGTCAACCAACCAAGCGAGTGAATGAACGAAGAATTATCCAAGCTGAGCCGGCAGCATTTCCATTGATTTTCACTTTCTCCCGGCTCTGGGTTCGTTTTGTAATTATTGCTTGGGAAATTATTATGGTCAATTACTTTTATAACGCAACAAATCGCTTTCAGCGAGGTGTGAAGGATTACGGGGGGAAAATAACATATTTCTTAGCACATTTTTATTTTCGTTTTCCAAAACTCTTTTTCGCTATTTCAGCATTATCAATTTCCTATACACATAATAACACAAGGCAGTCTCAAATGACATTTCGAATATTTGTCAAGTGAAAATCACAAGCAATGATAATATTTTCAGCTATTTTTGGCTATTGGGCACGTACACGACTGACTTTGATGACCCAATAAGGGAGGGCTTGGCTATAACCATTGTGGGAGTGGCTCATATGACAGAAACGCACACAATGAATGGAGAATTAAGGACGCCATTCTGTTATATAATTGCGTTTGAAGGAAATTTTAAATTGAATTCAATGAAAATGTAGAACTCTGCTACGTTTTTCCCCCTGGCAGATTGGGTTAAAAGCGAGAGATGACGGCGACAAGAGAATTCAATCAACCTGAGGCACCCTTGGCCAGGGAAATATAGTGGAAATCGAGGGGAAAGGCCATAGTATGGGCCAGCTGGGGCATATAATTTAATTTTACGGGGCTGTGGTGGACGTGGCAGGTGACCAACCAACACTGATCAAATGCCGTCCCCATCGTCACTTGTGGGAATACCAATTATGGCGAAAATATGAAAATAAAATACGGCTTTTCCCTCTCTTTCAGATCAAGTTCTTGAAGACCAAAGAAGGCACCGCCATGGTGCAAATGGGCGACTCGGTGGCCGTTGAGCGTTGCGTACAGCACTTGAACAACATTCCCGTGGGCACTGGCGGCAAAATACAGATCGCATTCTCAAAACAGAATTTCCTTTCCGAGGTGATCAACCCGTTCTTGCTCCCCGATCATACACCCAGCTTCAAGGAGTACACTGGCTCCAAGAACAATCGATTCCTGTCGCCGGCCCAGGCCAGCAAGAATCGCATCCAACCACCTAGCAAGGTAGGCTTTCCAGGGAAACCCCTATGAATTGTGATATTTAATATAATTTTGTATCCTTTCAGATTTTGCACTTTTTCAACACACCGCCCGGCTTGACCGAGGATCAGTTGATTGGAATCTTTAACATCAAGGATGTGCCAGCCACCTCGGTGCGCCTGTTCCCCTTGAAGACCGAGCGCTCGTCATCGGGATTGATCGAGTTCCCCAATATCTCACAGGCAGTGCTGGCTATCATGAAGTGCAACCATCTGCCTATTGAGGGTAAAGGTGAGATAGTGTTGTGTTTAAGTGTTATTCAAAAGAAAGTCAAGTTTATATGTGGCCATCCTCCTGAAAATTTACACAAAATTTCTCACTCTCTCTCTGTCTTTTATCAAAACCTCCAAGAAAACTTCCGCCCCAATAAGTAGGCAACACAACGTTGTTTTTCACCCTGTTGTTCCACTCGAGCCCCACCCAAAAATCGCAGCTGAACGACAGTGAAAAGTTTGGCAGCTATTTTGCATGGCCTTTCGACTTTTGCTGTTGTGCAGCAGCATCAGCATCAGCAGCAGCAGCCGCCCATCAGAAATTACACCCACCATCCGCCATTCAAACCAAAAACCACTTGCCGCCTGCCCCCAATGCAAACTTTAACCTTTCACGTTTCTTTGGCTTGTTTTTTTTTTTGAGAGAGGGTGGGTAACAAAAACTTTTCAGTTACGTTGCCTGCGATGAAAATTTTAATTTTGTAATTAAGATAAACAATTTCAGTTTGCAGTTATTCATAAATGGGTCGCGTTCAACCCGCTAGCGGAGTTTCTCCAACAATTAGTCTCAGGACTCGCGGCTCGGTTACAAATGGGTTGACGACCGATATAAACTTTTCGCATAAATATTTCACCACCAGCAGGTCCTCCGAAAACAAATTACTATTCCGCAAACTCTAGGGTTTTATGAGCTTGTTTACATGGCCAATACTCATTTGACATCTAGAATATTTAGCAATGCATTTATTCAGAAAGGTTTACGGAAAAATAGTTCTCTTTTGCTTGACTTTGACACATCTTAAAAACAGCTTACCGCTGCTAGTGCCATGTGGGGGGAAAATCGATTAGAAAAGTGGCCAACAGAACTGTTCAATGCTCATGCATAAATTGTCGATATCCTCGATTTGATTATTTGTCGCTGGCGCATTTGTGATGCTGCTCCGAGGGCTGCTCGAGTGCATGGTAAATAGTAATTAAAAGTGCATAGAATGCAAACACAATCGCACGAATGCATAGGCATGCCCCTTCGCAAATGGAAATGCAAATGCGAGTGCATGCTGATGGCAAACACAGGCCAGTGCGTACTTTTAGGCGGCAGAATTATGCTGCAAGCAAATATATGGCTCTTTTCACCCTCCATCGGATGTACATATACCATATTGCATTTTGATTGCTAGGTGCATACAGGCAATAATACCATACACCAGTCGTTCTAGCTGCGTAAGACCATTCAGCCAATGGGCTTCCATATTATTGGTAGGCAAACGGCTTTATTTTATTTTGAACCCATCCAACAACCCATCCAATACCTTCGCACAATCAATGATTGCGCTTGCAAAATCAATAAAAATAAATTCAAAAATATACAACACTTATACACTATACTACACCATAACTTAATGAATATGTGTGAATATAACCATTGCTCTCGTCAAGGAACCACACCACCTTATACATGTTTTATGCGTGCTCTCTACCCCCCTCTTCCACACAGGCACCAAGTTCCCATTCATCATGAAGCTGTGCTTTTCCTCGTCCAAGAGCATGAATGGGGCCTGGAATAATGCGGCCAGCGAGGGCATGATCGAGAAGGAGAACGAGGTCGACACCAAGGTGGACATCTACAATTGAGATTTGATTTCGATTGTGTAAGCAAGCAAACAACAACCGGCTTATCTAGAACACAATACAAAACTATACTGAAGGGAGGGGCATTGGTCGTAGACAACAGGCAAAAGACAACAACAACAGCAGCAGGAGCAGCAGCAGCAGCAGCAGCAAATGCAGCAGCTACAGCTTCAATTTCAACTTTAACTTCAACAACAGATCGACAAACTTGATGATGGCTTACACATTCGATAAAATATGCTGACGGAGAGGGCTGCGGCAACAAGTGAAGAATTTTAAACAAATTGATTGCTAAATCAACTTATAAAACCAACTACCATTAATTCAATTAAGCGCAAACGCATGTAACTTTTCTACGAGCCATTTGCATAGATTTTCTGAATTCACCATATATCAATTCAGCTAATTAATATGACAGCCTATGTACGATATGGCCTCGTTCAAAAGCCACACCGAATAAACACTTATGCACATTACATTACATTACATGCGTTTGCGTGGCAACAACAAAACATGCAAAATAATGTAAAAAAAATTTGAATTGTTATTATTGTTACAATGAAGCATTAGGACTTTCTCACACAACAGCAAGAAAACGGAAACAAAAACCAATTGTAAACTATGTAATGTTTAATTGATAAAAAACGACAAACAAACCAAACCAAAAATAAATAATTGTAATTCAAAACGAAACCATGTTAAAATAACTATAGAAACTCTCTGCCCCCGCCACGTTCTTCCCCGCACGAACTCTCCTCAATGACCTTCACCCCCCACCCACCCGATTTTCCAACACCCCTTCATCCCACGGCAGATTTCTGTATAGTTAATGTAATATGATTTGAATTTGGATTCGAACATATTAACGCAACATAAAGATAAATTTCTTTGGACAATATTTCGACAAGTATTCGGGCGTGAGAAAAAGTCTTAACAAAAAATATTTATTGAAAGAATAATATTTGTGTAAATTAAAACCAAAAATTTAGCAATTTTAAATGAAATTTATTAATTTTAGTTATGCAAAAACATGCTCTGCGAACTGCTGCACCGACCACTGCAGTATGTATGGCAGTTGATTTTAAATTTCTTACTTTAACGCACATAAAGCAAAAGGAAAGAAATAAAAACTTGCACAAGCCAATGTTTTTAATATTAACAAAACAAGTAAAAGACAAGATGGTAAACATAATTTTTGTGCTTAATTTACAAAGTTAAAAAAGGCATAAATTTATATGTATGAGATGTATTTGTATTTACATTAAAATTAATTTTAATTTACACTTAATGTAAAAAGCAAAATAACTAAAACAAAACAAAAGAATAAAAAAAAGCAAGCTAAGAAATAAAAAAGATTAAAACTAAAACAAAATGTTAAGTGCAAATCGAAAAGAGCACTAGCATATTTAAGAAACAGCATCGTTCAGATATGCAGACAGCAAAATCTATAACAAAACAACATATTTTTGAGGCGTTTTAAAATTAGAAGACAGAGCCAAACATTTCAAAACTCCAAGTAAAGTTAGCAAAGCAAAGCTACTACTAAAAATGGGTAAGGGCGTATTGCAAATGCGAATAAAAGTAGAAGGCAAAAGAATTAACAATATCAGCAATAAAGCAACAGCAACAACACCATATCAAAGGCGTATGTTAGATTACCTATAATATAAACAAAATTAACAAGAGATGCAAAATAATAATGTAACACGATTTAATCTATGGGTTCACTTGAGTTGTATAATTTTACTTTTAAGCTCCTTCGGTTGACAGTTTGAGGCTCACAGAGATCCGTGCTCATAACTGCCTTCCAACAGGGCATGTTATATACTACATTTGTTTTTAATGCAAATCAACGAATACATAATGCTAGGGCCGCTAAACGAATTTTCTTCACACTTTTCGTAGTTCACCGCTTGACAGGATTGTTAAGCTTTCATGTAGATCATTTCATTCATATAACTATCAGTTAAACTATGTGCAATTTGGGCTTTAAACGAGACTTCGTTTGTTCTACTTTATTTATTGCAATTTTCTCATTTCGATAACTAGTTCGTGTAATTATTTGAAGTGTCTTTACAGTCTTAGTTATTATGTAAATTGTTTTTTAATCCTTAATTGTAAAATATTTTTCTTAAAATTAAGTATTATTGTACTTAATTTTAATAGTTAACATGATTTAATGACAAACGGGATTTAATCTAAAGCAAACAATCTCGTTAATAATTAATTGATAAATATTACTTTTTAAGAACTTAAAGCAACAACGATCTTGAAGCTCCTAATTTGATCATAATCAGATAAATAAACCAACTATTATAAAACAATAATATATAATATAAAATATAAAATAAAATATAAAATAAAATATAAAATAAAATATAAAATAAATAAAAACTTGGTAGCTATTTAATTTACGAATATACAAATTGTAATCTGGAATTTTTATTGTTAATAGTTTTATTTGACCTTTAACACAATTTATTTTGTGTTTATTTTTCTTATTTTTAATTTTGTATGAGTAAAAATAGAGACAAATAAATATATTTATATATTTAGCTGGTGAGATCGTTTGGTACTTGCCTTGAAGGAAGCGCGGCAACGTCAGTTAAATATATAAAATCGTAAATATATTTATGCGTGTATTTATATGATTTGTTTTATTTAATATTTAAATTTTGTTGTTATTTTTTAAAGCGTATTTTTTAAGCCCAGAGTTTGTAACATGCGCGCTCATATTTTGATAAAAATATATATATGTAAAAGTATCTGGCAATTGCATTTTTATTTTGATCACCCACCCTCACCATCATTGTCAAGTTTTTGTATATTCTATTAGGAATTGAAACATGACAAATAATTTGCTTTTAAAATTATAGAAAACTAGCAAAGCATTCAAAGCTAAATATAGTTAAAAGCATCCTATAACGCACATCCTTTTCTTTTCATTTACGGGCATGAGAACAGCGACTAATGAAAAGTAAACCTAAACTAAATTATATGCCAAATAATCTCTAGTGTTATCCTGAATTTTGAACATATCAAAATTTTGAAGCATTCAAATTTAAGGGCCTAAGTTTTGTAATTAAACAATTTAGGCATTATCAATGTTAAAGAAATGAAAAATACCAACACCCGGAGCACTTTTCAATAAGCAGCTAAACTGCAAACAGACATAATCCTTACAATCCTCTTGGAGAACACCAATAAGAATTGTATTTAACCAAATAGAGCAAACAAAAATAAAAACGAAGAATAGATTTAAGGTATTATTTGTAATAAGTAATTTAAAGTATTATTTAAAAACACAATTTTTAAAATTTGAAAACTAGGAAAAATTCTTTATGATTATTTACGCCTGTGTTCCTAAAATGAAATTTAGCAAGAACATTATCTTCTAGTAGCAATTATTTAAGTTTAATTTAAACTTATTCGAAATTAAATTAAAGAAAATTAGTACAATTTCGTTGATTATTTTTGTTGAATTGGAACAAGATCATTTCAAGATTGTCAACAACAAGAACTTTTTATGAAGGCCTTCCCAAACCGCTGGCTTTTGCTAATTGCATGTAATTTTATGTAGCGATTTCTTTAACATGAGTTCTTTTAAAATACGTTTGCAATTGCCTCGTAGTTTTCAACTCCAAAAATGCTCATGGGGTACAAGGTAGGTGCTGTTTATAAGAAACAACTCACAATTTTCTTGAACTTGTTCACCCAATCAGACGTTGGTTCGTTCGGAATGTCATTGTTGCAATGGCAAGTCCACATATTTTCGATAAATTTGTCTTAGATCGTTAGACAATACGCCTAATGACTCTAACTACACAAATGGACCAGTTTATTCAATACTGAATTGACAACCACCAAGAATCAAAACAAAATGAAATTATTAAAATTTGTGAAACCGTCCAATTATGAAACAGCAACAACAGCAACACTGACACCACACACGAGTTGAAAACTGGTTACATTACTTCTTTAAAGAGGAAGAAACAGTAGGGCAATGCTCTAGTTTCTGAAGTGTCTTTCACCGAACTTTATAATGCAAACATTTTTCGAACAAGGGTTTTTAGCGACACCAGCAAAAATTTCCGTCTTCGGTTTGCGCTTTTCGACCTATTTTACTTTCGTGCCGCTTGAACACGCTTACCAGTTACGAGCATCATTCAATTTGCTATACATCTACGATCCTGTGAGAGCTTTTGTTTGCTACTATTGTTTTCTGTTTTTTAGTTGATACCCCCCGAGAGGCAAATGACAAAACACTAAACAAAACAAGAACTTTGTACACCGAAACGAATTCATAATAATCAAGAATGCATGTGCATAATGAGAAAACATCTCACACAAACACACACCCACACAACAGGAAACGCACACTCACTTAGAGCCAAACCGCAGGGCAGTTGTGCAATATAATTTGACTTGTGTTCGGTTAATACACACACGCACACCCTCATCTAATAATAATAGCTATGTTAATATGCAATTTAGTTGAATTTTCGTTGATCGGTTTAGTTTAGTTTAGTTTAGTCAGTTCATACTTTAACTCAGGTTTGCTGTGTGGCGGAAATGGATTCTGAACTTGACACCACACACATACACTTGTTAAACTAATCCACCGAATAAATACAATCTCATTTCCTAAATTTAAATATTAACGCATGGACAACCCAATTTCGCCGTTTCCGCTTCGGGCAGCGGGCTCTAATTAGTTACCCGGGACGCGACTATACTGCGCGCTGCAAGGCGTAGCGTACTTGAAGGGACAGCACTGTGGATGGCAGGACAGTAAGGTTATCGAATATCGAGTAGAGACATATTTAAATCGAACTTCTAAGTGTTTAGTTGAACAGTCGATAACCATTCGTATATGCTAATAGATGTAATAAGCTCGTAATGTGGAAAACGAAACACACTAGTCTTGCATACATACACACTAACAAACATACATATTACATAATTATATACTTATACACTTATAACATACATTAACACTCATACATAAACGCATACAAAATACTTACATATGTATAAGCCTATGGAATGCAACATAATTACAGCAAAGTTCCTTTGATAATCGATTTTTGTCTATGTACGAACTAATTTTTGAAAAAAATTCTGCGTCGCATTTACACACAGGCACACATACATAATCAGCCATAACCAGACATATATATATATATATACGTTTAGATCTATATATATACACACATCAATCTTATCAGGCGAGGCAAACGCATTAACAAACCGCAAAAAAAGTAAAAATATCATGTACTGCACAGCAAACTTGCGAAAACAGGAAAACAGTCAAACCAAACAGTCATACACACAAGTAATGGAAACAATGAACAAATTATTAGAAACTATTCAAAACTACTATTTATTAAATGTTGTTAGCATCAGAAAACCGAGAATAAGCAAATTATAAACTCGCTGTAGTGCAAATGCAGAAACTTAAGAACAAACAAAAATTGTAAACCATCATGGAAACTTATTTATTTTAAGGCCAAGCGTTGCGGCTAGCAAAAAAAAAACAAAGCGGAAAATAACAAATACCAAAAATTTTCAAACATTACAGCCACTTCAACAAATCCACGACAAAAACAAACAGTACATAAATACGATTCTTTGATCTTAAACCAGAAACCCAAAAACGAAATACAAATAAAAGAAATACTTAAACTTATACA